TTTTTGGGGGGGGGGGGGTGATGATTTAATGACATCATCAGTGCAAATCTCAAATTTAATGCCCCAGAAGTTTTCTTACAAAATAATAAATTGTTGGTGGCGACTCCATGACACCGTAACAGAGAAGTTCTTTTTCGTCCACATAACAAAGAAGTTATCAGGGTAGTGCAGAACATTTGGATCACACTATATAAAGACCTAAAAGGCACCTCATCTTCAATTTGGAAAATATTATGACATGTCAAATTGAGGACCATGCCGAAGCAATGACTTATCTTGGAATTTACCCATTTTTAAATTGTATTTTTCTTTCAAATAGTGAATTTCAAAACTTAAGAAGCTACGTTTAAAGAATTGCGATAGGTTTATTCAGTTCGTTGGAAGTTCATTTCCAACTGTCAAATGCGTTTCTCTCGAAAATCTGTACCTTTTATGTAAGCCATTCTTCCGTTATAGTTCTCGATCATAGAAACCTTTTACTTCTTGTCAAGTTTCTTCAGGGTTTTTTCAGTTAATTAATTTAGATGTTGAACCTTTTAATAAAAAACTTGAAATAATTGTATCAAGCATGAAAATTCATTTGTAAGATTATCGAGTGAGCGATTTATCTCCAATTATCTGTGTATACTCATGGAGTAAGCACCAAATATCAGTTTTTTATTTGCAACATTACAGAGATCTTTTAAGCATATTATATACATTGATGTAAACAAAATGGGCAGACTCAATCATTAATAATGGGCTAAGTGCCAAAAAGCTGATTTTGAGTTATTCACGATTTTATTTTGGACAACTACCTCGGCAAATTCAGCCAGGGTGTCTACTAAAACAGGCTGGCCAAAAATCAGTACCTTAACAGTACTTTTTCAGTACATTCCCAAAGAATTCAGTACCTACTTGACAGAAAAATTCAGTACCTTCAACTAACGAAATTTCAAAAATTTGAATTTCCCGCTCAAATTGTGACAAAGATGAAAAAAAATTCCGGACTCCCTTGGAAAATTTCTGCACTTTTTCAGTACTTCTGGACCGCCCTTCAAAAATCAGTACCATTTCCGGAGTTTCCGGTAATTCTGGAGTTGTAGACACCCTGTCAGCGAATGTTTTCTTTTGGATGTTGTATGCATTACTCTAAAGTTGGTGTAACTCAACCCATTAAGCAGCATGTTGTCCTTGGTGCAAAGAGCAAAATGCCACGTCTGACTCAATTCTTGATTTCTGACACTTAGCCTGTTAGAGATACAAGTCTCCATGTCCCCTAATTGATGTGAATTTTCTAACTTGATCAAGCTATCAATTACAGACTTTTTTATCTGCTTTCCCTCTGCTTGTGAAAGAAGGGGAAAAAATGTATTGAAATATTTACAAACACTGTAATTGATTTATGCTTGCTTCCTCAGGGGAATGATCTCTCCGGCCTTATTCTTTTTTTGTGAAGTAGATGAGTTCTAACTTACTAAAATAATTCTCATTACTTATTTATTCATAATTTCTACCATTTTACTGACTGGAGTATACTTACTAGTGAATTTTTTCGTAACCCGAAAGAACCTGAGCAATTTTTTAAACATTTTTACAATGCACACTTCTGCTCATTTGTCTTTTTTTCATTTGTGATGATCAGTGTTTCTCAGCTTTGCTGTGTTTAAGTTGGAGGAACCCCAAATTCACCCCCTGATTGATAGTTCATCCCAGTCTGAACAGTTTACTCTATGAGGCATTCTCTTACACTTTTTTTTAATGCTTTTAGAATCTTCTTGTGTCGTCCCTAGTCTTAATTATTGCATAATCAAATATTGATCCACCCTGCCTTTATTTCTTGAAAATTCTTTGTTCAATTTGTTTTATGTGTGTATCTCTAGTCCCATTGACCTAGGTTGAGAGAAAAAAAAAGGTGGAGTTTTTAAAGTAGTTTCAATAGTATTTTCATAGGAGATGATTCATCAAGTTGAGACCCATGTTATTTCTTTGATACTATCAATTTCAAATTGATCTAAGAGCACAAAATGGAAGGGAGAAGATTCTTTTCTTGGTCACACAGAAGGAAATTTGCACTTGTAGAAGTAGCAAATTTTCAAATACTATTTTTACAATGAGCATAAACCTTTTCTTTCTCTTTCATTTTAGCCTATACAAGATTTCAAATGGCCTTCAAGTCTTTCCAATGTGCAAAATTTAGTTCGAGAGGTTATAATAATAAATTAAAGAGCAATTTTCTTTGCTATTTTTATGTTTTTGCTATCAGTAAGAAAAATAAATATTTTCCTCGTTATTCTAACATAATCTGTAATTACTGATCTATCAGACCAATTAAACTTATTGTGAGCTTAAGATTCTACACATTTATGTAATAAACATCATGCTCAAGATTTAAATAATTGCCGATAAACATTGAGAAGAAACATTTGGAAAGGCATTCTTGTTCAAAGTCTTTAACATCCGCACAGATGAAAAATGTGAAGTGGACAAGTGCCTTTAATAATTTCTCCAACCCAGAATGTTGTTCAAGAATTTTTGTCCATAGCATATTGCCTTCTTTGAACCATTCATTATAGTATTTGCCTCCAACGAAACTCCTACTTTACTTAGTTTGTTTGGTCCAAGAGTTACTTTGTATTATTTTCTCTTCTGCTGTTCCTTTGTATGTTCTATCATCTAGTGATGTATTTTGGCTTGCTAAGCCATCTTCAGGCTGAAATTAGTCGTTGTTACTCACTCCGAGTTTCGGATGAGCATCACTTGTATACTTTTTGATACGCAACAATACCTACAAGTAAAAATGGACGTTAAAAACATTTACATACTACAATATTAAAAAACCCAGAAAACTGGCTAAAATTGTGGTATGTGATATGCAGCTACTGTATTGGTATTTTAAGAAACTTCTTAATTTTGCCGGGCTTCGGTAAAACGCCTATTAATGTTTTGATACAGTCCAACACTTCATTTTTTCTGCTTTTTTATATTTTTGCTACATATTTTCAATGGAGAATTTGCACGAAAATGTTTTATTACATTATCTGAGAGTGCTTAAAGATCTTTATCAGCTGGATTTTTTATTGAATCAGCTCGAGCTGATTTCGCAGTATTATTCATAATTCTTTTTTGAAATGGGAAATAGTATAAAAATAGATTAAAAAGTGTGAAAAAGCAACCTCCTAGTGATGTCATCTGACAATGTTTTCCATTTAAACGCATTTATTTCAGCTGATCAGATCACTTTGTCGTATCACCTCCAATAATTGTTCAATTTATGAACCAAAAATATGTGTTCAGTTCTCTCAGTAGTTTTTACTGAAACACGAGTTTCATCAAACATCAGACACATGCAAATTCTCCATTGTGGAAAGTTCTGAATGCTCTCTCAGTGTATCAGCACCGATTAGTATTTCTCGCATGATACAATCATTTAGAGTAAGCTTAACCTGACACTCATTCTTGAGGCGGAGAGAAACATCTCACCTCCTCTAAAGTAATTGTCTAAACTTTTTTAGAGGAGATTATTTTGCTTCTTCAGCTGTATGAATGTAGAGAAAATTTTTCATATGTCTCATTGATCACCATCTTAAGCTATTTTATAAAACTGGAAATCCAAGTAATAATTAACCACAAATATTGGATGGTTGGTCATAAGTCCATCATAATTTCATTTTTCCTCGTCCAAGTTACCTTTTACGTCTCATAGATTTTGTTCCTTAAATCAAACATTATCTGAACTGAGTTTTTTTTCTGTACCTGACAACGGTTTTTTTTTTTAAATATTAAAAAGATGAAACATTTTCAGTCTGTTTTGTTGTTTTCCTCTCTTTGAAGATTCCCATATTTAAGAAATAATTTAAAATGGATAAAATGTAAATGATGTGATTACGAAAGACTAATACACCACATTGATGGCCAAAATGCGAGACTACATATCTCTATTGCGATATTTTTTCAAAATTTATACATGGGTTCTGCTCCTATCATATTTTTCCCAGGAGGAACACATCAACTTTTTAGCTTGTAATTTTTACAAAATATTCTGCTGACAGAGAAGAAAAATCAGGGAAGTTTTCAAAAAAATAAGCTAACTACTTTTCCAAAGAAAAAATTAAGTACTTATGACTAGAAGTCTGCAATGTCGCAATCAGAGGAATTTCAGTTCGCACTTTGGCAATAAACTTTCAGGGTCATTTTAAGAAATTCCTTTTCTGCAGAAATCCTTCCTTCAAGAGCCAATGAAAATTCTCAAGTGAAGCTCACTTTCGGTTCTACGTTTTTTCAGTTTCTTCCATAACATGGATTCAGAGGGATACGGAGCTCAAATCTCAATAACTGTTAGTCACCGTGCTCTTTATTTTGGATTGAGTTTAAACCATATTTTTTTGAAGGAGCAATACATCTCAAACCAAAGTGCAATATTCCAAATCATAAGAAACAAGGTTTACGTATGTACTTGCCCAAGAAGGCAGTTCTGAAAAATTTCTACTCAGTTTTACTCAGTGCAAGCACACACCATTTAAAAAACCTTCTGTGTCGAAACTTTACTCCCCCGTTGCCTCCTAAAGGGCTTTTTACCCTCCCGATAAAACCAAACTTTTCACTGCAAACAGCATAACTGATTTCACGTTGCCTCCAACTCATTATTTATTTTTAAAGCAGAAAATGAAAGAAAAAAATGAGTGATGTGTCTGGTACATGTTCTAGCACTGAGTTAAAAAATGATAATCATTTTTCTTCTAGATATTCATCAGGATTTTCTATAAAGTCAATTCCCCCTAAAAAGTGATTTTTCTGGAGAAAACTCAATTTACTGGAAAAAAACATGCTTAGGTAACATGCTGCAAAAAAAGAAGTACGCACAAATACAATAAAAATAGACTTTTTATTTTTATTTACAGCGAACTCAGAGACTTGTTCAAATAACAGATCATTTTACAAAGTAAAGTAAATAATCTAAACAAAAAAAACAGTCATATATATCTGTAGAAATCAATCATAAGTTATAAAAACAAATAGGAAGATCAATTAAAAAAGAAAAAAAGAATCCCCCCATAGCTACATTAAACAACAACTTGCACAATATTTTATCATTCCTTTTATAATCATGCAGTCACCAATATAAAATAGGATAAGAATAAGTGAGCAACATAATCGATAAGTTGTGTCAACTCTCTTTTGCTCCGGTACTTGGTAATTTATTTATATCATTAAATGGTTTATTCATTTTACCGGATTTGGATATTATTACCTGTAAGTTATCTTTTCAACCCGGTTTTTCTTCAGTGATTCCTTGTCCTTAGGCGATGCACATTTTGGAAAACTCATCTCCTTCTTCAGACCACAAAATTTTTTGACTAGCACTTTTACATTGTGCGCGTTCGAAAATTGCGAGACACGTTAAAATATTAAAATCGGAAAATAAAAAATAAAATACACGTAGCTAGACTACACAAACATTAACTGACTATGTTACCGTAACGGGTCACGACCGATTTATTACTCGTATATGGTAAAACTTGAGTAATATATTGGTCGCGACCTGGTATGGTGACAAAGTCAATTAATTTTTGTTTAATCTACGTGTGTTTTATTTTTTATTTTTCTGATTTTCATATTTTAACGTGTCTCGCAATTTTCGAACGCACACAATGTAAAAGTGCTTGTCAAAAAATTTTGTGGCCTGAAGAAGGAAATAATTTTTCCGAAATGTACATCGCCGAAGGACAAGGAATTACTGAAGAAAAACCGGGATGAAAAGACAACTTACAGGTAATAATTATTGTTATATCTCTCAATTTATTTATTTCTTTTTTAAAGAAAAAGGTTGTTGTATTCTAAAAGATTTGCTTGGTCTCATGAAGTATGATGATCTGCAGTTGTTATTATCTGATGTCTCTTAAAATGTTGTTACAATCTTGTCTGCTCTGTATTGCACCTACCAGACACAAATTCACAATCGTGCTTAACTGATTTGGTAAAATTGCCAATCCGTTACGATTAATTAGTAATTTTTAGCAATTAATCGGACTTTTGGTAAGAAGACCGATGGTAACTCCTCGTTGAATCGGAAAGGAATCAAATAGATTAGCTATACTTGGTAATTGTTGAGGATTCATCAAAGAATGCTACGCATCTATCCAAAGTGGTATGGCGGTGGTCGTAAACGAGGAGGAAGGGCTGAAAAAAAGAGAGAAGAGTACAAATGTAAAATTAAAGGATGAATTATTTGCTGAATTTACAATTTTGGAGTAAACCCTCAAGAAAGTTGCACAAATTCTGCGCCATTCCCATTGTAAGTCGCTAAAAAATAGTTGCTTCAAGCGCTGTGGTACGCTGCGGCGCCGCGCGGCGGGCGGGCAGCCAGCGCGGAACGCGCATTGACGCCTTCAAACCTAACAGGGATACTTCACGCATTGCGCAATGCGTGAAGTATCCCTGTTAGGTTTGTAGGCGCCAGTGTGCCGCCGCTCCGCTTTGTGTTAGGCTCTAATATTTAATCTCTTGGAGTCAGCGTTTTTCAACTCATGACTTTGAAATGTTTGCACACTCTGTATGGATTATTCTCATTTTAATTGATAAAAAAAAAAATATGTAGTAAAGGAAAATATAATGTGCGTTTTGTAAATATTAAGGTGATTCCATACAAACTTAAGGATTTACAAAGCACACGAATTTCTACACAAAATATTAAAGCCTTTTATAGCCAATGGCGAAAAAGCAACAGGCAGGCGATAAAGTGTAAAGCCCAGCGATAGGAACTATAGCCCGGCTGTATAATTTGTTAGGTAGCGCTTCGTGCAGCCCGGCCGTATGATTTTTTCCACTTTCTACAGCCAGCTATATGATTTTCTATCGCCTTCTTCAGTCGGCTAGAAGAACTCCTACGGTATTTTGAAACGCAGCTCCCATCGCCAATTTTTACCAGGGATCATGTAGACGACTTAACCAAAGCCTGTGTCTTGAATCGCATCGTTGCAAATTTGCCGTAATACTCTATTTTTTAATCGGGAACTGAAGGGTGCTTGACGTAATTTCGTGAAAGTGTCCGCGATATTTCCTCTCTGCTTGAAGAATAATTATCGAAAATTTTAAGCAGCTAACTTGCTCGTTTTCTACCGTGCGAGTGATGCAAGATTGGAAATTTGAAAACACTGAAATCAAGAGACGTGGTTTAGCAAGTTTAGCCATCTAAGGTATCTATACCTAAGGTAAAAAGGCGAGAAATTCTAATTGACACGTCCGAACGCCCGTTCATGTTGTTCGTGCTTTCAACTTGTCACTTGCAATATATAAAATCAGTGATTAAGTTTCTACAAGTAGGCAAAAGTACCTTTTACATAATGGTGCGTGTATCAATTCTATATCATTAAATATGAGGGGATAACATGCTACGTCGATTTTCGATCAATATCATCATCCTTTTGAGCTAATCCTGTTTTTAACGTTAAAAACAGAATTAGTTCAAAGAGATTATGATGTTCATAAGACGATTTTACAAGACGTACGTCTTGTTGGCATGCCGCTTTTAACACAATTTAAGAAACTCGGTAGTTTGGATGAAATTTTCAAATGATCCTTTGAGATCGACTGACGACTTCCAGCCGACAAAATTGCGTCACCAGTTGCACTCAAACGTCAACTTGCAGTCGATAAAAACCAATTTGAATGCAAGTCTGTGAGACGGAAGGTGATTCCGAAAAATATCGCGAGTGCAAACGGTTATTGAAAAAGTATAGCAACAATCATTTCTGAGTAATTTTTTAACCAAATTTTTTACTAAAACCTCGAATTTAGGTGTTTATTTCGTCACATTCTACGTTTGAAAGGCTGACTTCTTAATGCTGGAAATTTTCCTTGAAACCCGGTGGGGCTACGTAAAAACGTCGCCGTTCTGCATTTTTAAAGTTTCCAAATACGGGGTCGTCCATAAATTACGACACCAGTTTTTCATGAATTTTTGACCCCTCCCTCCCTCTTTGTCACCTACATGTCACTCACCGCCAGCCCACCCCCCCTTCCATCAGGGGGTAACGTGATTTATGGATGGTCACCACGATGTTCGACCTCTTCCATTTGACTCGCTCCGCTGCGAAACGTCTTGTTTATATACGTGTAATGAGGAAGAGAGTATTCACCTGAAAAATTTGAAGGAGTCAGTGTAGCAGGGAGGTACTTACGCGGTCGTCGGAATGGCGGTGGCCCAAAAAGTCGTGGCGGTCCTAAAGGCGGAGGCTGGCGATGTGGAGGCATGATGCAGAACGGTGCTGGCGGAGGGCCTCGGTGCATCGGATGCACCGGCCTTAGTTGATGCATCAATGGAACAATTATTTCTCTCACAGTATGAGTGTTGTTGTTGCTGATCATTTCACGGGTCATGTTATTGTTGTTGTTGTTGTTGCTGCTGCTGCTACTACTGCTGCTGCTGCTCATTTCACGGATCACGTTGTTGTTGTTGTTGTTGTTGTTGTTGTTAGTGGTGGCGGTTTTGCTCTCTCGTGTCGTATCTCGTTTACGACTAGGAGTTGCATCGTGTGTCGTTGTCTCATTTTCTCTAGAGTTCGAGTACCTATGTTCCTTGGATCTCGATCGGTTAGTTTTTGACTGTTTATCCTTATGGTTCTGAAAGAAAATCAAGTAAAATTACACTTATTATGATGAATTCGGTCTAATCATAATAATGCATTATAATGCGTCTTATGGTACTTTGAAGTTCATAATTGTTTGATGACAATTTAAAAGACTTTTCAGGGAATTTATAGTAGTTTTCCTTGCAAAATTTTATGTAAATTTTACTAGACGTGAAGTTTTTTTAAAGGGTTGTTTTAAGGGTTTCTTAGGGTCTTTTCTTGTTGACGGTTTTTTAGTTGTCAGGAAACGCGCTTTCCAACAGCCTCTGCCACTAGGCAGTTTTCTTAAAGTCAGACTCCCAAGAATGCAACACACACATACTTAATGGCCAGAAACCCGAGTTGACTAGCTCGGCTTTAATCCTGGGAAGCTCGAGCTCGCGCAATAAGATAACGCAACTCATTATAGTGCCCCAGGGATGGGAATGACCAACTGATTAGCTGGTATATTCGATTTGTTTTAGCAATGAAGCAAATAAAATGTTTTATGAGGGCAGGTATATCAAATGGAAAACAACGTTGAACTAGAAATACTCACGGAAATCTCGTTTCGAGTCGACGAGGAGGAGGAGACTGCTTCCTCATCATTGGAAACTTTTCTTTTTCTACGCTCAAGAGATTTGCCCGAACATGATGACGAACTACGGCTTTTGCTATAGCTTTTGTCTGTAATCAAAACGAAACAAGCAGTTACACATTTATACATTAAGCCCTTCTTTCTTCACATTTCTCGCTCCCCTTGCAGGTAGAGGAATTCTTTTTTTTGCGAATTGGCAACACCGGGCCTCCTGTATTTAGATCCATTAAAAATATCCATACTTTGTGAGAGTTGGATGAGACCTAGAATCTATTCTGCCGTGCTAAGGAAGGACGTCGCATGAACATTCGAAAGTTGCCGGATTCCCCAGATAAATCAGGTATTTATGACAAAATGTATGCATATTCTTCCTTGAAATTTCCAGATGTTTTAGATTGAATTGCGAACAAAATAGTCTGAAAATGTTGAAGAAAAATATTTAAAACTTCCCCAATAAATTCGTATTATATCGGAGGAAATTTGGCAACGCCTGAAGGTTCATACGGCGTTTTTCCTTAGCACGGCAGTATTCCCTGGTAAAAATTGGCAGTAGAATCTGTGTTCCAAAATACCATAGACCTTAAGCTGGCTGTAAGATTTCCAATAGCTTACAATTTCTTATAGCCTTTATTGCCGATGGCGATTAAGCAACGGCCAGACGATAAAGTTTATGCCAAACGTTACTAAATACGGATACTAGGACTAAGTGAGTTTTTGGACTACCGCTCTCTTCTTGTGCCGTAGTATCTTGATTTATTTTGTGAGGAAATCTCCGTACTTTTGAAGGATGCCTGTCATTCTTAATATGTTGGAGCGCCTTCAATTTCTTATGATACTGTGCAATACCTACCTCTGGTGTGAAATAGTTGCTTCAGACGCCGTGGCACGCGGCGCGGCGGGCGGGCAGAGAGCGCGGAACGCGCATTCGCGCCTACAAACCTAACTGGGATACTTCACGTATTGCGCCATGCGTGAAGTATCCCTGTTAGGTTTGTAGGCGCCGGTGCGTCGCCGCTCCGCTTTGTGTTAGGCTCTAATATTTAATCTCGCGGAGTCAGCGTTTTTCAACTCATGATTTTGAAATGTTTGCACACTCTGTATGGACTATTCTCATTTTAATTGATGAAAAAAAAAAAAAAAAATATGTAGTAAAGGAAAATATAATGTGTGTTTTGTAAATATTAAGGTAGTTCCGTATCAAACTTAATGATTTCCGAAGCACACGAATTTCTACACAATTTCTTATGGCCTTTTGTAGCCAATGGCGATAAAGTGTATAGCCCGGCTACATGATTTGCTCCGCTTTCTCCAGCCAGCTATATGATTTTCAATAGCCTTTTTTAGTCGGCTATAAGAACTTCTAGGGTATTCTGAAACGCAGCTCCTATCGCCAATTTTTACCGGTGTTGTTTTACATACTTTTGAATGCAGGGATAACTGTGTTGCCACTTTCGTAAGAATCGCTACCGGACGAGTTAAAAGTTGTTCGTCTATAAGTTAATAAAATAAAAACGAGCCTGCTATCGTTGTATAAAGAGGTGTCAGAGAGTAAAACAAACAAAAAATGTGTTCGTTACTTTGAGAAACTTACATCACGTCTGGAATGAACGAGATGTAATGAGTTTTTGTGACAAAACATGTTTGCATTTTTTTTTTAATTTGACCAAATGTAGACCGGGAACATGATTTTTTTTCTTTCTGGACCAAATGGGTGGGCGGGGGAGGGGGAATTAGTTTAACACCTAAGTGAATTCATTTACGACATGAATACTTCTTTTCCGATTTGATTTGCAGTTGTGCACTGGTGTTTTGCGAAGAACAATCAATATCTGTGCCTTCGGTAATAGATTACTGCTCACCCATGCAAATAAATGGCCAAACCAATAGGCCTCTTACCTGTAACTTTAACGACTTGTCGACAATCCACAATGCAAGATGTCTCATCTTTGGAGTTCTGATAAAGCTCAACTCGA